TCCCTGAAAGGAATCAACAAGAAACAAATCAGACTTGTTATCCTTAGAAGGAAATGGGGGGTAGGGGGTGGGACTGGAAGGAAGGCAGGGCCCCTTTAAGTCTTTTAAGAGCCCCCTCCTTTTGGAAGTCCCTCTCATATCACAACAAATATAATAAAATGCACCCACATCCCTCATTAAATATGTAATTTGTATATAACTGTGGAAGAGTTGAATTTACTTCAACTATAGTTGACCAGTTGACCAAGTATTACATTTTTGAATACATTTAAGTAAATATTATTTAATTTCTAATTTAAAAATTTTCTTTTTTGTCTTTTAGAACCAATACTTCTTTTCAGGTCTTAAATCATTCCATAGGCCCCTGTAAGCTCATAGACTGTTAGGTCAATAGGTGCTGTTTAGGGAGAAAGAGGCTGGCCCACCTTCTGTTGTCTATGTTTCTATACTCTGATTTTGCTAACATTATAAATGTTTATTTTTACTTATTTATTTAATTTTACATTTTCTATCACTTTAATTAAAAGTTTTATTTTGAAAAATATTCAGACCTACAGAAGAGTTGCAAAAATGTTATAATGAACTCTCACAGTACCTTGATATAGATTAACCTAATAAATGTTTATTTTTACAAATCAACCAGATATATCAGAGAAATGAGATTATGGGATTTTTTTAAAGTCTCTTTTCTATATATCCACCTTTTAAAAAGAAAAAGAAAGAAATGAAATGAAAAAGAAGGAAACGTTATATTAAAGATTAAAGCAATCTAAAAGGGGAGAACCCTCTGAACAAGTTAGCTGCTGCCCTCCTGGGGGGTCCTTTATCATAAGGGACCAGCAGAAAGTACCCATAAGGCTACCCAGTCATCCAGGGCGCTATGTAGAACTACTGTTCCTCCCCTAAGTTACCACTTGGTCAGAGAGACCCTCCCACCACCAACAAATTATTTTCATCCTCCAGAGAGAGGGGAGACCTCCCTTCAATGGGGTTTTGATCTTCTCAACAAGAAGCGAGGTTGGTAAAAAATTTTTGAGAAAAAATTAAACTGCAGGTAGAAGACAGCACCACACAGTGTCTTGGGATCCATTCTTGCACAGCACAGGGATGATCCTAAAAACATTAAGCTGTACCAACCCACGGCACAGCTGGGAGGGCCAGGGTTAGAGGAAGGTTTCACTGCAGGGGTGACCTTCACCTGGCTGTTTGGTCAAAGGTAAGGTAACTCAAGCTACTTTTAACATAAACCAATATTTTAAAGATGAAGGAGCTCCTGATTAAGTATCTGATTTCCAAGGAGTTATAGAAATGGGACTAAAGTGACATTTAATCAACTACAAACGGCATGTAAGACTTTCTTAACATAACATAGTGATTGAGCAAGTGAGTTTTAGAGTCAGAAATATGGGGTTCAAATCCTGCCTCTGCCACTTATTGGTTTGGGGACCTTCAGCAAGTAATCTCACATCACCAGGTCTCAGTTTTCTCAGTTGTGAAATTGGCATAATAGTATCTCTTACTTCATAATGAAAAGATTAAATAAGATAATTTACTACCCTGAAAATATTTAGTCCAGTGCCTGGGGCATAGTAAGTGCTCAATAATGTTGACCAGTACCAAGGGTTTCACATATTTCTTCTCAGTGACCTTATAAAACCCTGGGAGGTAGATGTTATAAACCTCCTTTCAGAGAAGACACAGCAGCAGAGACTCAGAAAGGTCACCAAGACCACATGGCTAATAACTGATGGAACCAAAATTCCTCTACAAGACTCCTGACTCCTAAGTTTAGGGTATTTTCCACTAGAGTATGGATGATAAATTAAACACCAGCCAATCATTTAACATTTGTTTTTAAATGATACAGTATCACGGCATGTATTATCTTACTTTCTTTGCAGTACTCACCTTTTTACTGCCGTAAGTCAAAGAGTAGAGGATATTCCGTCTTTAGAACGATAGAATTTGGAAGGGTTCATTTCTTGGGGATACCTAGGGTTCATGATGACATGTGAAGAAATGAATCCATGAACTGTACCCTGTAGTACTATTCATATTGGTTGTTTTTCTCTGTTATTGGTAGAACAAAATCAGTATCTCTGAGAATGAGTTGCTCTCAGTCAAAAGGCAGTAGTGGCTCCATATTATTACTTCCTTGTCTGGGCACTAGATGTCACACTAAGTAAAATTTTAGAAGTTATTCTTCAAAGTAGGGTGTGGCATGGAGTCTAAACCTTAGCTATGAAAAACCATAGCTTTATATTTCTAGTAGAATGTAGTTAAAGATGTACTTTTACTAACAAAAGAACTCAGAAAAAAAGAACTGTTAATTAGAAAATATAATTGGAGGAATCTTAAATATGTGCAAATCCTTGTACATCCACCTTATACCTCAGTAGTGTATGTATGTTTGTGTGTGTGTGTGTGTGTGTGTGTGTGTGTGTGTGTGTGTGTGTAGGTGGAGTAGCAGCCTATTGTCATGTCTGTTAAAAAGACACATTCTACTTATTATACACGTAAAATGGTATTTCCTTCCAGAAACAAAGCGATTTTTCTAGAGGCAGGTAATGCATACATATCCATAGTCATTTGTGAGAAGCTGAGATGGTGAGAAGCTGTTCTTCCCTGGGAAAAGATTCAGACATGGCTCTAACCTGCAAAGGGATGGAGAAGGTGAAAGAGGAGGTAATGACAGTGAAGTTCATTAAACCCTGAATGGTCTCAGGGAAGGATATGGAATCATCTCTCTTGTACAGTTTACACAAAGAAGATATAGCAGATGCCTACCAGCCTTCTGAAACTCATTTATCCCTTGATTTTAGCTCTCAGAAATCTAAATGAGAATCATGGATGGAGATTTGGATGTACATTATTTCCTTTTTGAAAATATTTGTGCTTTTAAAGGATGTCGAGGAATATGAGCTCAGTATATAATAAAGTTAATAATTATATCCCATAATTTACATGTGTTACTGAAACTCCAGTGAGTTTCCATTGAAATGCTTTGAATTAATTGGAAGCTAGAGAGAATCAAGTCTTACTTTTAGCAGTTATAGTGCATCTTTTTAAAAAGTAACTCAATAAGGCTTCCCTGGTGGTGCAGTGGTTGAGAGCCTGCCTGCCGATGCAGGGGACACGGGTTCATGCCACGGAGCAGCTAGGACCGTGAGCCATGGCTGCTGAGCCTGCGCGTCCGGAGCCTGTGCTCTGCAACGGGAGAGGCCACAACAGTGAGAGGCCCGCATACCGCAAAAAAAAAAAAAAAAAAAAAACAAAAAAAAAAAAAAAAAAAAAAAAACAAAAAAAAAAAAAAAAAAAAAAAAACAAAAAAAAAAAAAAAAAAAAAAAAACAAAAAAAAAAAAAAAAAAAAAAAAACAAAAAAAAAAAAAAAAAAAAAAAAACAAAAAAAAAAAAAAAAAAAAAAAAACAAAAAAAAAAAAAAAAAAAAAAAAACAAAAAAAAAAAAAAAAAAAAAAAAACAAAAAAACAAAAAACAAAAAACAAAAAAAAAGTAACTCAGTAATGAATTTGGACTGTGTCTACTGATCTACACATGAATATAGTCATACGTTTCTGTATGTAATTAATGTTGTAAACATTGTAAATAATGTTTCCTAAGTTTCAGTGTTTTCTAGATAGTGTATAATAACAGGTGATTCCCACTGGATATAATTAGTCTTCTATCAGTTTGGCAAATTTCGGTGCCGTGATTAAGTTAAGACCCCTCTGATAAGCAAGCTTACGATTGATGAACTATGACTCTTTGGGTTTGGGGTTCATCCATGTCTTTCTCTTATTCAGGAGATGGACGGTCAGTCATTTGAATGGTGCCCTCTACAACTACACCGTTCTCTTTGGCTCTCAAATCCTGCTGTGAGTTGGGCCTTTTTTCCCCAGATATTAATATTGCTGCTGCCTTGGGTTTTAACAACCTGAGGTTGCCTAGGGTCCTGAGTGAATCTTTCATTTTCTCCCCGAGCACTAACGGGGAGGTGAGTGCTGTGATGATGGCAGCCTAGGCTGCTTCTCCAAGAATTCAAACAGCCACTTAGGACATCACTAGACTATTAGTTTTCTAAGGAGAAAAAAATGGCTCCAAAATAAAATGTAGACAAAGCTATTTCTCTGTCAAGCCAAAGTTTGTTTGTGTGTATGTGTCAGTGGCGGGGCGGGTGTAGTGGATGAGAAGGTCAGCTCTGTATTCACTAAACAGTTATTGATATTGAATGCACACTGTGCTGGGCTCCAGGGAATTATAGGGATTGTCCCGGCTCAGATAGAGTAAAATCAGTGCCCCTCATCCTGGCCGACTGTTCTTACATCTTGTGTTTGGACTGTTACTACTTAAGATAACTATCAGAGCTGTTGAGTGACCTTTCTGGTTTTCCCACTGGCTTGCCTTTGGATCTTGACATGTCATCTCCAGACCCTGCTCTCACACATACAGACCGTACTAAAGGAATGACTGACACTTTGTTAAGGCTCAGCTGATTTCTATTCAACAAGTAGTAATTGAGTACCTACAATAGGATAGGCCTACAAGGAATCAAAAACTGAATGACACATACCTGCCTTGAGAAGCTTAGAAAAGAGGAAAGAGGGTAAGACAGGGTAAGACCATTCACAGATAATATCTTGGGTTGGAAACCCCAGGTTGCTAGTTAGATAGTGTGAGAAGTAAGAGGGACTAATAAAGCATCTGGGAGCCCTGTACATGCACTTATTTGCTTATTTGCTCCTCACAACAACACAGTGGAGAAATTGAGTCACGGAGAGGTGGTAACTTCTCAAAAGTCACCCAGCTGGGTGATGGTGAAACTGAGCTCAAACTGGAACCCACATCTGAGGGCTCGCAAAGTCTGTGCTATTAATCACCACGTTCTCTCACAGTCGAGATATACACCTACAGCTTACAAGAAGAGCTCTGGGAGATGAGTGATCGAACCTGCAGACCGTGGGCTTCTATTGTATCTATGAGCCATATTTTATTTCCTGACAGGTCATGGGTTGACAGCGGTCAAGGAAAAAGCAGGGGCCACCCTCCGGATTCATAGTGTGAATTCTGGCTCTTCC